AAAAGCATTTAGTCTTTCAGTAGTAAGTATGATGTTAGCTGTAGAATTTTTGCAGTTGCCCTTTATAGGTGAGGAAGTTCCCTTCTTTTCTTAGTTTGTTGAGTGCATTAATTATGAAAGATCATTAGATTTTGTCTAGTGCTTTCCCGTATCTATTGAAATGGTCATGTGATTTTTATCCTCTATTCTGTTAACATGGTATATTACCTTAATTGGTTTTCATATGTTCAATCTTGCATTACTAAGACAAATTCCACTCTGTCATAGTTTATAAACCTTTTATGTATTTCTGGATTTGGTTTACTAGTATTTTGTTGAGTTTTGCATCTATATTCATAAGAGTTACCAATGTATAGTTTTCTCATAATGTCTATATTTGGGTTGAGCATGAGGGTAATTTTGGCCTCAGTGGATGAGTTGGGAAATGTTCCCTTTTCTTCTGTTTTCTGGAAGAGCGTGTGAAGTATTTGTGCTAATTCTTTTTTTTTTTTTTAAGATTTTTTATTTATTTATTTGACAGAAACACAGCGAGAGAGAGAGAACACAAGCATGGGGAGTGGGAGAGGGAGAAGCAGGCCTCCCGCCAAGCAGGGAGCCCAATGCAGGGCTCGATCCCAGGAGCCTGGGATCACGACCTGAGCCGAAGGCAGACGCTTAACAACTGAGCCACCCAGGCGCCCCATGTGCTAATTCTTATTTCAGTGTTAATATTCATCAGTGAAGCCCTTCTGGGCCTAATCTTTTTTGTTTGTTTGTTTTTTTCACTCCTGTGGGGGGAAGTTTTTTTGTTTTGTTTGTTTTTAAGTATAATTAGACTTTCTATTTCTTCTTGAGAGTCAATTTTGGTAGTTTGTGTCTTTTTTAGTAATTTGTCCTTTTTTTTTGAGCTTTTATATTTGAGTTTATTGTTAATTTAACTTTTAAAACACTACTGTAGTTGAATATTTAAACAAAAACAATAGCAAGTAGTGAGCTATGATTATAGTCCTTCAGTCATTCACTACTGCATATAAAATGCCAGCAGTGTTATTCACTGGCCTTATTAAGAGGTCTGACACTGAACACCACCCCGGGATGATGTTCATCATCCTCATAGGCTTCCCCATTGTAATGGCACCATCTTTCCTGATTTGGATCAGAGTCCACCAGTTCTACCTGGTCCGTTTCATCAATCTCTTCTACTTCCTTCCTCTCAGGTAGGGGTTTTTCCAGCAAAGAGAGTTTATCAGGAGAGAGAAAGCCATTCTCAGGAAAGTTTACCTTAAATTCGATGATTAGGCGACCCTTCTCATATGGTCTATGATAAATTGGCATGCCTTCATGTAGCACACACTTGATATCTTCATGCTTGACAATTTGACCTGGGAGAGAGGTGATGATGATGGTTCGGTTGTCAAGAGTAGATATTGGCGGGGCGCCTGGGTGGCTCAGTCTGTTAAGCGTCTGCCTTTGGCTCAGGTCATGATCCCAGAGTCCTGGGATAGAGCCCCACATCGGGCTCCCTGCTCAATGGGAAGCCTGCTTCTCCCTCTCCCGCTCCCCCTGCTTGTGTTCCCTCTCTCGCTGTGTCTCTCTCTCAAATAAATAAATAAATAAAATCTTAAAAAAAAAAAAAAAGCATAGATATTGGCTTTTGAAAGCCACACAGTGCTTCAACCAGCTGTATGTCCATACACATGAAAAGGTCTTTTCCTTGCCGAGTAAAAACAGCGTGGTCCTTCTGATATAAAATAATGATATCTCCTGGTTCCAGTCCTGGTTCTTGGTCTCCTTCTCCATGGAATGTTATCTTCTGGCCATCCTTCATTACTTTGTCAATATGAACTTCTAGAATCTTCTTCTCTTGATTTGGGACTGATCCGTTCCCCATGGCCCTGGTACTCCATGCACACAGGTTGAATTTGCTGAACCATTCCAGGTCCTATCTGATGAATTCTTATTTGCATTCCAATACCTCAGCAATTGGGACAACATTCGGCTGCTCCTTTCTTACCACCTCGGCCTTCACATTTATTGCAAATCACTTTTGCAAAGCTAGTTTTCTTGTTGCACCATTATATAAATCTTCTAAGGTTACTGAGAGCTGATACACAATATTTTTACCTCTCCTTTTTTTCTGCATCCTTCCTCCTCCTCCAAAAAACATATCAAAGATGCCCATGGGGGAGCCAAAGCCACCACCAGCTCCACCTTCTTTAATTGCCTGTTCTCCTCCTTTGTCATATAATTCCCTTTTCTTTGCATCAGAGAGTACTTCGTAAGCTTGAGAAATCTGTTTAAACTTCTCTCCTTCATTTGGATTCTTATCAGGGTGGTACTTCAAGGCCAGTTTCCTGTAGGCCTTTTTCAATTCCTCTTGGGTGGCATTGGGTTTGACCCCCAAAACATCATAGTAAGTGGTTTCTTTCACCATTTTCTACAGCCGGTCGGTGTGGGGAGCGGGAAGGAGCACGTTGCTGGGCGCAGCTCGGGCAGCCACTGCTCCTCTGCATCTCACCGAGCGTTCTGGAAAGTTCCCAGTAATTTGTCCATTTTATCTAAGTTACCTAATTTGTGGGCATATGTACAGTTGTTCATAGTATTTCCTTACAATCCTTTCTCTTAGTTAGTGATGTCCCTGTTTTCATTCCTGTTTTTAATAAATTGATTCTTCTATTTTTTTCTTGTCAGTCTAGGTAGCAGTTTTTCAATTTTGTTGATCTTTTCAAAGATCCTAATTTTGGTTTTATTGATTCCCTTTTTCTAATCTCTATTTCATTTATTTCTGCTCGTTATCATTTCCTTCATTCTGCTAGCTTTGAGTTTAGTCGCTTTTCTTTTTCCTGTTTCTTGAGGCCTAAAGTTAGGCTATTGGTTTGAGATATTTTTAAATATGGGTGCTGTGACATAATAAGAAATAAATATTTTGTCTTTATCCCCAATTCCTAGCACAGGTCCTAAAACATTTGGAATCTCTGAAGTGGTAAGAGTGTCTTTTGTGTGCTAATGGAATGACTGGTGGGTGGGAGCTCCTAGATAGCTTCAGGATAGGAAGTGGCCACCAGAAACACCAGGGCATGATAGGAAGGTTGGGATTTTGAGCTTCCCCCACCCCCATCCTTCCAGTCCCCCAGTCTCCCCAGCCTCTGGGGAGAGTAGAGGGGCTGGAGACGGAACCAATCACCAGTGGCCAATGATTTAACTAATTATACATCATAATGAAATCTCCATAGAAACTCCTAAATAACAGGTTTCAGAGAGCGTCTAGTTGCTGGGAAAGTGCCACTGGAGGGCATGGATGCCCTCTTACCCTCTGCTTCCTCATCCCCCACTCCCATCTCCACCCCTGGTATACTTTGCCCTTTGCATCTCTTCCATTGGGCTGTTCCTGAGTTGTATACTTTATAATAATCTGGTAATACTAAGTAAACTCTTTTCCTCAGTTCTGTGAGCCATTATAGCAAATTATTGAGCTTGAGAAGGGATCAATAATTGTGGGAATCCCTGATTTATAGCTAGTTGGTCAGAAGAATGGGAGTCTGGGACATCCAACTGTTGTCTGAAGTAGGGGCAGTCTTGTGAGACTGAGCCCTTAACCTGTGGGATCTGATGCTGATTCCAGGTAGTCGGTATCAGAATTTAATTGAATCCTTGGATGCCACGTTGGTGTCTGAGAGTTGGAGAAGTGGTGTGGAACATCCGCCCTACACCTTACCCACATTTGGTGTTATGAGTAGGGGCGCCTGGGTGGCTAGTCAGTTAAGCGTCTGCCTTTGGTTGAGGTCATGATCCCAGGGTCCTGGGATTGAGCTCCACGTCAGACTCCCTGCTCAGCATGGAGTCTGCTTCTCCCTCTCCCCCTGCTTTTGCTCTCTCTCTCAAATAAATAAACAAAATCTTAAAAAAAAAAAAAGAAGAAGAAGAAGAAGTGTTATGAGTAAAACAGCATGGAGTTTTAGCTCTGATTTTCCCTCCAAGAACTGCTATGTCCCATTACTTTTGGTATGTTGTGTTTTCATTTTCATTTGTTTCCATGAATT